ATATATATATATATATATATATTTTTTAAACTCATTGGATATATGATGACTTAAATTGAACTAAACTCGTTCAACATTATATTAATTTAATTTGGATTAGACAAAAGAAATGCTGGAAATTTTATTTTCCCTCAAATTCGAACCAACTCCACCCATAAATACCCTTATGAATCACTTGCCACTGGTTCAAAGGCATTTTTAGATAGAAGTATGAGAAAATAATTTTCATGCCTCCGTTTTAAAATGGTTGATAGTTAATTTTTGTGAAATGGATAGTTAACTTAATGTAAATATATTTTGTTTCTTATTTTATCCTTAAAGTAAATTGGTGAGAAACGATTTGAATATAATACAACTATAAAAGTGTAAAAAAATTTAAAATGTGAATACCAAATAAAAGATGTTTCCTCTATATTTTGGTTTATAGAAGAATTGGGGGGAAAAAACACGAAAAGAAAAAAGAAAAAAATCAAATCACTTCTAAAAATTTACTCAGAGAAAGAAGTGTTCAAAATTTTGTAAAAAAAAAATAAAAGTTAAGAGTTTAATTAACATTTGTTAATAACTAGACAAATTATACTCATTCGATTAAAAATTATCGTTAGAATACTTTTTAAGATGATTAGCATTAATAAATTTATATTTATGATTAAATGAACTTTGTAAGACACTTTTATACGGTGAGTACATGTTTTTTTATTTGATATTTAATAAGTATACACTTAACAATTGTACAAATTTTAATAAGCAATCACTATATTCCTAACTAATACATGACACTGACAATTTATAAAGATATGAATTATTTATAAGCAATCACTTGCCTACAGTCGCAATGCCTAGATGAGAAGAAGAGAAAAAAATACAGTATACAATAAAAGTTAATAGGTGAGCAGTAAATTATTAAAAATATACTTTTGTTTTTCTATTTCATCTTTAAAAATATATTGGTGAGAAACGACTTGAATTAGGGTGCCTCTCCTCCTGTCAAAGGAATTTTTAACTTAATCAAATGGATTAATATAAATAGTTATATTAGTTAATTTTATTGAATTTATAAAATAAAATTTATGATATATTGTTTATCATTACAATTTTAGGAAAGAGATAAAGATATTAGTTCATACACACAATTTATGCACAAATACTAATAAAATTAATACATGACAATTTGAAGTTTGAGAGGTTGAAAAATAACATTCTTAAATTATTTTTTCATTATTCAATAAGAAGCTGATAGGAACAAAAGATGATAAATAAAATTAATATTTCATACAAATTGCAAAGCACTTTATAAAAAAGGATCATTAATTCCATCTAAATTATACCTTGAATTAAAACAGAGATTTTGCTCACTAATTCACTATGACAATGCAAGAAATTGCTTACCACATCACCAATTCTCAGACTAAGGAGAGAGAAGCAAGGACTAAAAAAATACAATTTTGGATATCAAAATACCTGACAAAAATAACGGGGAATATGTAAAATAAGATGTTTAGAAGTCAATGATGGGAAAATTACAATTTTGAATATTAAAACAATGTTTAAGAAAATAAAGCGATAATTTGTTTAAATTCAAACATACTAAGTAAATGCAGTTGCAGTGGTAAAACAGAGTAAAATACTCTGCACTTTTTGCTGACTTAGCTCTCTCCATTTTTTAAGTAAATTACCCCAAAGTAGCAATTTTAGACAGGCTATATGTGATCTGCCACTAATAGAGTCTGACTGGTTAGGAATTGGGATATTGAATAATCATTACTAACCCGAACAAAAGATAATTCTTCAGTTAAAAGATGATTCAAATGGTGATCAAGCCAAATCTCTATATAGCAGTAGTATCTTTATAAAACTTTGTCAAACAAAACAAATACTAATAGTATCTCCCCCACTCAGTCATGATAACTCAGTTTCTAAGAAGTGTATATATTCTATGAAACTGCAACAGTCAAGAAGAAATATTGCTTTTTGAGATGATATCAAAGGATATTCCATTTTGTTGAAGTCTTTCCTGGAGATCAGTTGGACCAAAGACGATCCCAGGAGGGTAAACTCCTCCTTTAGGAAGGTTGTTGCGTTGGCTGAGAAGAACAAGAGCACACTGAATAAGAATTATTGGCGTGGTCAGATATCCAATTTCAGGTCCCATTACCCTTGTTATAATTTCCATGTCAGGTTTTACGTTTCCCTGTGAAGCCACACTCTCATCACTAAAACCATGTCCTACAAACCACATCTTGAAGGAAGCACTTTCAACCTCCTCTTCAGTAGGGCCCTTCTTCCTGAACCAACCAAGGCTGAATATTGAAGGAAATTTCAGAAGAAGCCACCTCCCAAAACCAATGCCTCCTAAAAGACCAATGAAAACTCCAACCATCGTGATTCGGAGAATGCCCAACAATGATTTTGAGCCTATTTTCACACCAAAATGAGCTGGCTTTACAGAGGACCAGAAGGCTTCCCTTTTCACAACCGCCTCAGCACTCTCGCTCAGCCCAGGGAGACCATGGGAGTTTTCTGTTAGAATTGCTAGTGTTCTTCGAACTACAGTTGAATCTGCTGAAGGTAGCTTCACTGCCCAGAGGCCTATTTTCTTCTGGTTCTCTATAGTTTCTCCTTTTAAAGGAGGAGGTCCAGGAATCTACAACCATGAAAAAATAAGTTGATAAATGACATATCACACAGTTAAAAATATAAAAAAGGAGAAGAGAAAGACTGCAATATAAGGTCAAAAGACACTATATACATAATACATTAGCTTAAGTTAATCTCAGACCAAGACATTGTGAGTAGCCAGAGTAAACAACAGAGAAGCAAGAAGAGAAAATGGTGGGAATGGGGTCAAGTAATTAGCTAATTATAATTATAATACGTGTGATCTTAGAAAAGAATCTCAGAATTTACCATCCACTAGGAATGTAGGAAGCGTACCTTCACATGACCGTATATTTCCTGCTACAACTTACAAGTATTCGTACAGGTAACAAAGATAAAAAAGCAGAATTTAGAGAATAAACCATTAATTCCGTCATGAAATATCACTCTTTTTAACTAGTCCTTAAATTAAAGGAATTATAAATAGTCCTTCAAGTATAATTGCTAATATAGCTCCTCGAGCATAGAATTTTTTTTTTCAAATTAGTCATTTAATGTTAGTAAAATATATCAACTCAAGGACTAAATGGATGGATATTCAAACTTCAGATACTATTTTCCTTTTATCCGTGGGAATCGAAATCGATACCGTCAGAATATACAATAACTCGGACACTTCAAACCTCTTTGGTATACTTCGGATACTTTATATATAATTTCATTAGTTTAAGGACTAAGAGCCCACAATGCTAATGACTAATCTCCATCTAGTCACCCTCAATGAAGTTTCTCCTCACATTTCTTCCATTTACAAGACCCTCATGTCCCCATGTTTTAACGTCTACTTTCACTCGGAACAATTTCTTGTTGGTACCAAAAATACAATAGGAAGATGATAACTATTCTGAATTTGTTTATATATATATTGAATAATTAATACTAAATACGTATAAATGTGGAAAAATTAAAGAAGTAGTCAAAATTGATGAAATATTCATGATTAACAAGTAAAAAATATTCTTCTAGAGCAAAATATAGAAGTACAGCAACAAAAGTCAAGGAAATACCGGTCTGTTAAGATTTTAGAAAATGCATTGAATTTCATCATCACAAAATTCTAAATAACAAAAGAAGAAGAAACGTTACCACAGGCCTAGGTCTTCTGGGCCGGGACCTTCTGAGTTGCTGCAACTTGTGCGCATTGGCGACGCCGAGCACCGCGGACTCGTAGGTGGCGAAGTTACCCACAATCCTCTTCTCCGACTCCAACGCTACGTAAGCCTCCATGCTGTTCGGCACCGCGGGCCCCACCCACTGCCGCGAGTTGAACATCACTCCGAGCTCCGCCGGCACCGAGTCGAAGCCGCAGGCGGAGACCACCAGCGCGCCGCTCTCCGCCGCCCGCTCGTGGTGCGTCGCCTCCACGCGCTCCATGAACTCGGGCTCGCCGGAGATGTCGAGGTAGTCGCAGCCGGCGTCGGCGCAGGCGGCCACGACGGGCTCGCCGTGGAGGCGGAAGGGGCCGACGCAGTTGAGGAGGAGGGCCGTGCGGGCGCAGAGGGCCCGGAGGGATGGCGGGTCGGATGTGTCGGCGGTGAGGATGGGGACAGTGGGCGGGGGGTTGGGCCGCGAGGCCCATTCGAGGGCTTGGTTGAGTTTTTGAGGGCTGCGGCCCGCTATGGCTATGGATTTGAGAGGCGAGGATGGGGCGTTGAGGAACTTTAGGGCTTCTCGGAGAACGTATTTGCCTGTGAAGCCTGAGGCCCCCAGGATTATTAGGTCGAAACGACCGCCGTTTTGTACCTGCTCCATTTTCTTCGCTTCAAAGAACGCAACTGCAACTACTCACTTCAGGTTTTAAATCAAACCCACCCACACTCTCTTTTCACCAAATAACGTCATTTAGTAATAATAACCATTTAATAGTTTTTTTTTTCTCTTAAGTATCTACCGTGATAGCGGGACTAATCTCTTCGCTACATTAAAAATATCTTAAAAGATGAGATAGCTGATCCCAAGATTTAACAATCATTTAATAATATTTTATACTTACCGATCAATAAATAAAGAAACAACTATTCAAATAAATTTTTATTTTATTGTAAAAATCAACTAATTTAAAATCAAAATTATTTTACTTTTAGTATCATTTTAAAAACTAACCTCACCTCACATACTAGTTTTTATTTTTTTCATTGTTAATTTATAAATATGAGAAATTAAATTTCTAACTATATATTTAAGAAATATGTTTGATAATTATGTTGTTCAGAATTCGAATCATAAACTTAAATATATGATATATTATATTAAGGGAGAATACAACATTTATGATCTCAAACAAAAATTAATTATTTTTTAAAGATAGATACTTTATAATAAAATTATAAGACTCATAAAATTAAAAAGATGTAAATGCAACTCCTCCCTTTGAAAAAATTATAAATATGTAATATATAGAATTTTGTATTATCTATTATTATTTTTTATTTGAAATACTAACTCAAATTTACTATTCCATTGTTAAAATTTGTCTTTCATTGACTAGCATTTTTCTTATTTTTTTTAAGCTTTTCAAATACTTTATACTTTATTCAACTAGATATTTTATTTCACATTTTTTTTCTTTTCATCATAATAATAATTAGTAATTTTTTATTTTTTAAACTAAATTACCCTTGTTGAAACCAGGGTTCTAGATTTGCGTCACTGACCATAATTAAAAAAAGCTATGTATGATTGTATTTGTGCATGCTTAAATAATTAATAATCACTATATATATAGAGAAGGAATTATATTTTTTTCATAATGGTCATTTTTAATTCCATTTCTATTTCAATGGGCATTAGAATATGTTGGTTTAAAACACCTTCAAGAACCAACCCAATAAAAAAGACAGAAAAATAAAAAGAATTGTTCAGATTTTGTAAAAAAAACATATATTTAGATACAAGCTAGAACTCTCAACCTAGTGATGGTAATTGGGGATAGCATTGAAAGATGATAGCAACGTTGCAAGCACATCTAATACACTCTCTTAAAATATGTTATTTGAATTATCTAATAAAAATTTCAAATTTTTAAAGCCTATAAGCTCATAAACAAATAATTATAAATACATTAATTTTAGGATAGCGACAAATCAATTACACTTTAAATTCTCTAACTTTAATTAAGTGACTGAATTAACCTTATATTCAAATCGGAACAAAATAATTAGGATATATAATAAATACATGTGAGAAACTAATCATATATAAAAGTATTAATTTATAAAAAATAATCAATTTGTCTTTGTTTCGACCAAGGAGGCGTCTAGGGTTCTTCTCCTAAATCCAACCTCCAAAGCCAGAGCATTCGAGAGTGTAATCTGTTCACTTAATTCTAGGATTTTAGGTCTTATACTTTCTTGTTCATTGGCCTCATATACCCCGTGAGCGTAGAGATTTTCATAACCATTAATATTTGAAAAATATTTTGTCATTAAAGATGAGATTTTATCCCTGATATCGAATTAATGTCTATGTGAAAAGGTCAGATCGAATTTTGGCCGAGTTACCCTTATAGAGTAGACAGGTCAGATTTTGACCGAGTGCACCCATGTAGAAGGGTAGAATCGAATTTTGACCAGATGATACAGTCTTAAAAGAACATAAATACATATAAACAAAAGAATGGAAAGGAATAATTAAGAATTTAAGTACATTTATTACCATATATTAAAACTATACTACTCTCTTTCAATTAAAAATCATCTTATTTTAAGATGATTATCATAAATTTAATAAAATTATGTCTATGATTAAATGGACATCGTAAGAGGCTTTTATACAGTGAGTACACCTCAAAATAAATAACCGTACAAATTTTATAAGAATCAGTATATTGGTAACTAATTCATGAGGGTGAGAGTGTATTCATAAGATATGCATTGATAAGCAATCACTGGCGGAAGGTGGAAATGCATTTATAGAGAAAGATCATAGATATTGCTTTTAAGAGCAGATAAGCAAAAATGTGGGAGGTTAACGTTATGAAACAAGTAAACAAGAAGAAGGCACAAAAATTAGGAAGATAATTATAATTTACAAAGCAAATTGTGAATTGATAGTATTACTATCCCTCACATCACAATTCACATGACCTTCCTTCTGGACATAAGCCCAAGAACCTCATCCCAGAGCCCAACACTCCCAACAGTCCCGAGCCCAACAACAGTCGGGCTACACGCAGCGACGGTCCAATACCCAGCCCTGATCTCATCCCTCAATTGCTCCTTCTCCCACCCACAATACCCATCGAAGAACCTAAACTCCCCAAGGCCAACGACATTCCTCTTGACCATTTGGGCAGCGCAGCCCACACTCTCCCTGGCCCCATAGTACAACCCCTTCATGACCTCCTCAAACACCCCACTCTTCCCCACCCCATCGTCACCCTCTTTCGGACTCAGCAAAAACAAACCTTCCTCCAAGGGCCCCCCAAAGAACAAGGGACTGTTCGAAAACGTCCCCTCCACGTCCAGGGCCGTCGATCTCGTCTCCTTGATGGACATCAACGACGGCCGATTCAGAATGATCCCTGATGGGCCCAACGGCCCAGTTGAGAGAAGAAGGATTACCGTCCGCTCGAAAATGTGGACCCCGTCAAGCTTCTCCGTGGCGATAAGTAAGCACCCCTTTTCGGGCTCGTGGATTACGTGGGCCCACTTGTCGCCAATGGTCACGAGTGGAGCGTGATCCACAACAGTGTCCAGATCACTCACCGGTGAAACCTCCTCGGGCCTTATCAATTGCTCTCCCGCCACTAGTTTTGCACGGAAAGATCGCCAATCGCCACGTACGCTTGGTTTCTCATCATCATCATCCAACGGTGACGGAGATGACATGTCACAACCTGTCATTCAGTTATGGAAATTAGATTAACATGTTTATATGATCATACTTTAGGGCTACAGAATGAATGAATGTTTGATACCAGGAACTTACATGATACAGGAAATGAGTTTCTAACTTTTCTACACTGGAATTGTTGAGATCTCTTGGTGGGGTGAGGTAGAGAGGCGTTTCTGATTACGGGGATGAGTTGATCTGTGGTCTTGGTGAAGGAATTGTGGGAGAGAAAGCATGCTTCCATGTTAGTTGAGTTTTTGTTTTTTTTTTTTTTTTTTTTTTTTTGTTTCTCAAGATAAGGGTGGAAATGAAATGGAGTGATGAGAGGTTGGTGGAACGTGAATAAATGTGGAATGAGAATTGATCTGCACCACATAGTGTTTTGTACGGTATCTACAATATATATTTTTTTTTTATCTTTTTCCCAGTAAGGGCATCTAATCCATGCTGGGTGTCTCGGATGGGTCAGTGGATAAACTTTGACAAATGACACATAGGATGACAAACACGTAGGGTTCCCCGGAACTTTATTTGAGGGCATTGGATGTATATGGATCAAACCCTTTTTGGGTGATGTGTCAAGCTCTATGCCACTTACCTGTTTCAGCAGTAACTTCCAATGTTGAAAATGTTCACAACTTGTGGATATTCGACATTATAGAGAAGGACACGTTCGAAGATAGAAAGAAAACATGGGCAGCATTAAACTAGAGAGGAAAATAAGTTTTGGATTACTCTGAAATTACCCTCTTATAGTGGTTAAACTACCCAAGTAAGACCGAATGGGTCAGTTTGACAACATTCATATCCATGAATTAATCGGAAAGCTTGTCATTCTTGATTAAGACGATTTTGTTTTCGAAATTTTAATAATAAAATCATTTATTTAAACTGAAATCAGATTCTATCAAGGTTAGAAAATATGTGGGTCAAGATCTAAGGCAACATAATTTATGTGAGTTGATGTATTGTATAATATATATTTTAAAATAAATAACAATTTCATGTCAAGTAAAATATTATTTAAGTTATCTATTCTTATTACTAATACATAATTGTTTAAAAATAATTTTTTATATAAAATATAGGCATTGAATCAAGTTGAGACAACTCATGATATGGCATAACAAAAATTAATGGGTGACGATGTCAGTCTTTTTCTTCTTTTCATCCTTCGTTCATATCCTCACATATGTAATGTCATTGAAGGGTCCAAAGATCAAAAGCCCAAAGGCTGAAAAACAAAAGCCCAAAACTTGCCAAATGCCCAAGGCCCCATTTATGCCTTGGCCTTCCAATATGGGACAGAACCAGTACAAGTGGTGGAAAGCATGTTATCTTGGGCATGGACCATTATTACCAAAAGGTTCTAATTCTTTCCACTGGTATAGGCTTATCAAAATAGAGATTCAACACTAGCTACCTCTATGTCTATCTGCATCTTCCCTTTAACGTGATGCAGATTAAGATACACCGAACCTCAGCAAAAGCAGGACCGAAAAAACCCACCAAAACTGCATATTCTTATTATTAAAATTATTTATTTTATTATAATTTATAAAGTATTACCAGGATACATCAGTTTTTCTCTTAAAATACATATAAGAAGTTATCTAAAGGAACGTTAAAACCCTATTTTGGTCCTTTATAATATCTTTTTGTTTCAATTTAGTCCTTCATTAACTACCCAGTCCCGAGCTAACATTTTCTTAACACGACGAATGACATCATAGTGTTTATGCAGGTAGTCCCTATTCGGCGACTGGCTATACAGTGTATTATTAAGGACGATGCAATGTATCACTAAGAACAATGGTAGCAGGTTTTATTTCATTGTTAGTCAAACTGGAATGAACCACTTACTACTAAATTGACACTATACAGTCAAGGATGAAACAAAACGATGTTTCCCCTTGAAGTCATTGATGATGTACTCCAACAATAACAACCTATTCTTGAGGAGGTACAACCTGAATTTTTGTGATTTAGGGTTTCCCTTCAGCGTTACTCAGATGATTTCCTTTCTTAATAATTTCTTTGAACTTTTTTAGTATATGTTATGTTCTAAATTTTTGTTTTCAGTTTCTGAACCATGTTTTTGTCTTTGAATTTATGATGTTATGAATTTTTATTTTCAAATTTTGAATCACATTGTGGCATTTTGGTCGTCAATGAATGCATGAAGTTGGCGTTCTAGAACGGTCCGTTCTGAATCCAGAACGGCCCGTTCTAACACCAGAATGGCCCGTTCTGGTGCACTCATGGTGTGTTAAATTTGCATTTGGAACGGCCCGTTCCAGTTGCAAAATTAACACATAACATATGCAAGTAGAACCGGTTGTTCTGGTTTCAGAACGGACTGTTCTGGTTTCAGAACGGACTGTTCTGGTTCCAGGTGTATTCATGAAATTTGGCGTCCACCTATGCATTTACGTGGCATCCACCTGACATCCATGTGGCTAACAGTTAACACAGTTTAAATCATTTGGACGGAAGTCTCAAATTGTAATAATTTAAATTATTGGGGACCAAATTGAAACCAAAAATTAAAGTAAGGCTAAATTGAAACAAAAAAAAATATTATAAGGGACCAAATAAGGGTTTTAACCTATAACTTACTTTTTTTTAAATTTATTTTGATAAAAGATTAAATTAAAAAAAATAAATTAACTTAATTTTTAAAATAAAAAAGGAATATTATTTCAAAAATTTTGGAGGAGCAATTTCGTCAGTCACACAATAGTTAATTACTTTCTGTCGGCACTAATGACACAAATAATAGGTAAACAACATATATTTTTTAATTAAATTATTTACAATTTTTTTTTTTGGTAAAGTATGAAACTAAAACAAACAGACAAGCTCAAGACATACAGTCTCTCCCTAATGGTAGCAGGATAAAGTCTGGAGGACTCCTCCAAAATACAGTGGAACCTAGGTTCCGAACACCCCAACTAGCAAGCGTATGGGCTACTGAATTTATCTCTCGAGGGATATGGCTTACGTACACTACCCAGTCCCGAGCTAACATTTTCTTAACACGACGAATGACATCATAGTGTTTATGCAGGTAGTCCCTATTCGGTGACCGATCTTGAAGCAGCGTAACAGCTCCCAGGCAATCACATTCGCAGCTCACTTTCTGAAATCCTCCTTCCCAACAAAGCGATAAGACCTTTAGGACTAAATTGAAACCAATTAATTAATTTGGGACCAAAAATTAATGAGAGACTAAATTGAAACAAAAAAATATTATAAAAGACCAAAATAGGGTTTTAACCGAACATTCACTATCATATATTATCTAACAACCAGAAAAGTGCAGGTGAAATATTCAATTATACAATAAAGTTATACAACATGCAATTGTGTACGTCAGCAACACCAAGGTATTTCTCAATATGCATACATCTTCATACACAGAAAACACCAGCCACCAGAAATTTGGTGAAAAAGACAAATTCCCCCTAAAAGAACATTATTTTCATTCTTTTTAACAGTTCAATAGGTTTACCGAAAGGAACGATTCATTGTAACACTAGAAAGAATTCAGAAATCAGTGAAATTATAGATCACTAGTATTTATACACGCAAAATCTAAAAGTTCATTACAGAATTGCAACTCACTTAATGCAAGTAATGTCATTCCCTATCAGTTTACCAGCAATGTCTGTTTGATTTAGAAATAACAGTATATGCAATTTCCTGATGGACTGTTTACCTCAGAAAGAATACTCGATTCTGTAAGTTGAAATTTTTTGGGGTTTACAAAATTATACATTGTTTAGTAGCTGGCAAAAATACATTCACATCAGTAATTCCAAGAGAATCTTTCATCTGTGACTAAGACTATATAAATAAGAGTTAATCACTTATATACTGCCAGTGTAAAATTTTTTTACACTGACAACTAATTATGTCTTTTAATTGTGTCATGTCATTGTTAAAAGTATATGTGTTTACAGTGACATAACACAATTAAAGGATATAATTGGTTGCCAGTGTAAAAAAAAATTATACTGGTAGTGTATAAGTGATTAACTCTATAAATAAACTTTCTATAAATACTTCTAGACCCTATTTTTTTCTCCCTGTAAGTACTTAAGGAGAAATTTATCCTAATAGAACCTTATTTGTTAAACTTAAACCCCAAAAAAATTATACACAACTCAAGGAGCAGGGAGTAAAACAGGAAATTAGGTAAGTAATATAAATATATAATCCACAGCGAGGTCAAACGGGGAAGGGGTGAATATGTTTTACTTATGCGTCTGTGTAGTCTACTGAGCCTACCAATGCTGGGACAATTCCTCCTAGTTGCACTTGCATTGCATGAATGAAAGATTCATGAACAATGCAAAGAAAAAAATTCTTAAATCCCAAGTCTATTTAGTCCAATTAGCAACCAAATGCTAAAGAATATACGCAGTAAAATAAATAAAATAATCATGTATAGAAAAAGACTCATTGCAGAAAAGTATTGTCAGCATCAATTAAAACGAACGTGCTAAGGTATCCATTTACATTCAATTATCCAAAATGGAGGCTCTCACAATTCACTTGACATAATCAGTCATCTTGAGATCTTTTGGCCATCAAGAGAAATGAACAGAAGATGAAGATAAAGAAACATAGGCCGAATGAAGTTAACACTGAGAAGAACGCAAATGCCAAATGTAGAACCACGTGCCGTGCAGATTAGACATAGCAGGTGTAACTCTAGAAACAACCTCACTGTCTTAAATGTTTCAACTTTCAAGTATAATAAATAGGGCTGGATTGATGCTATGCCAATAAACAGCACACAGGAATATTGGTTGGGTGGAATTGCCACCCAGTATACACATGTCATTGTGAAGTGTAGCTTCTTTATAGAACAAGTAGTACACGGAAAAATCCGAGAATTTTCTCTTTACAATTTTCCCTTTCTTTTGCTTTACAAGAGTGCTCCTGCCAGCATTAGTAGCAATGTGGAGGATGCTTGCACCGTAAGAATAGGTTCAGCCATGCATATAACTTTGTTGCTAAACCAGTGGTAGTGATGAATATGATGATTCGTTAACTTGACTTTAGTAAACCAGCATTGTGCTCAACTAAATCATCATATTCATTTCTTGAAGCATTATTTCAGCTGTGCATACCGATGCAACCAAATGATCTTCATTAATCATCTCTATTGATGCACCATCGGAACATATCCAACCTGCTTGAGGTCCTGTACCAATCTGTCAATCATTCGATATATATCATCTGATTTAGGGTGTGACTGATCAAATACAGTAAATTCATGCACTACTTCTTCTACCTCTATGGAACTTGCCCCAGAAGGCTTTTGGCCCCCTGTATTCTTCATTTGTAACCTTACATTGGCAACATTCTTCCAATCTCCTGCTTGGGCATAAATATTTGACATAAGGGAGTAATTCCCAGGATCTGCTGGCTCCAACTTAAACAGCTGTTCACACACAGCTCTTGCAAGATCTACATCGTTATGCATCCGACAAGCATTCAAAAGACCACTTAATATAATGGAATTTGGTTCCATAGGCATGCTGCGCAGAAGCGTGAAAGCTTCTTTCAGGTGTCCCCGGCGACCAAGAAGGTCTATCATACAACCATAATGCTCGACCTGAGGAACGATCCCATAAACTCTCTCCATCGAATAAAAGTACTTACGCCCTTCATCAACAAGGCCAGCATGAGTGCAAGCACACAAAAGGCCAATAAACGTATATGCATCTGGCTCAAAACCCTCCTGCACCATCCTAGAGAAAAGCTCAAGCGCTTTCTCGCCACGGCCATGCAAAGCATATCCTTGGATCATTGAATTCCAAGATACCACATCTTTCTTTCCCATCATTCCATCAAAGACACCAAACGCAGCATCCAAACAACCACACTTGGCATACATATCAATAAACGCATTCAACACCTTAGTGCCACACCTAAACCTCCACCTCCTCATAGACTCGTGAATCCTCCTCCCCAGCCCGAGCATTCCAGACTCGGTGCATGCCGACAAAACACTAAACAAAAACCCATCATCAGGCCTCATCCCAGCCTCGTCCATTCTCCTAAACAACTCGGCCGCCTCCCTCGCAATCCCCTTCTCAGCATAGCCAGCAATAATCGTCGTCCAAAGCACCACATTCTTCACCGGACACCTATCAAACAACAACCTCGCCATCACCATATCCCCAGTCTTGCTATACCCACAAACCATGGTCGACCACGACACAATATTCCTCTCAGGCATTCTCTCGAACAGCTCAAACGCCTTATCCATCTCACCCGCCTTGACATAGCCATCCAACATGGTGTTCCAACTAACCATATCCCTGACAGGCATTTCATCGAACACCCTGGACGCACGATCCAATTCAGCACATCTGAGCAACCCAGCAATCATGGAGTTCCAAGTGACAACATCCCGGTCCTCCATGGACAAAAAAAGGCCCATGGCCCCATCAAGGCCCACACTCCCGCACCTGGAGTAGGAGTCAATGAGCGAATTGGGAACAAAGATATCGTGATAAAAACCGAATTTTTGGACGTGGGCATGGATCATTTTGACCAAGGGGAGGGAGGAGGGGCCGGAGCAGCACTTGAGGAGAAAAGGGTAGGTGAAGTTATCGGGAAAGAGACCGTTTTGCTGCATACGGAAGAAGGTGTTGAAGGGAATGGAGGGGTGGGAGGCGTTGTGGGCGTGGGCTCGGAGGACGGTGTTGTAGAGGTGGACGTTGGGGTGGGGGACCTGGTTGAAGACGTTGACGGCGGCGGCGATGTGGCGGCAGAGGGAGAAGGCGGTGATGAGCTTGGGGGCGACGAAGAGGTCGTGGTGGAGGTGGGCTTTGAGGACTTGAGCGTGGATTTGGTTGACGGCGTCGAGGTTGGTGCAGCGGTGGAGGTCGGTCAGCTTCTCCTCGAGGAGACGGCGGCGGGAGAACCATGTGGGGACTCGCCCTCCCACCGCTGCTTGCACTTGCATTGCCCTTCTTCTGCTAACGCTTCACCTCATACACACTGCATACTGCATACCAATGCCTTCCTTCCTATCCTTCCATCGCAATTTCAAAACACATCTATTTGGGTAAGACTTCACACTTACCCAGAGATTAAAGGGGATATCTTTTTCATTTTTAAAATTAAGTAATTATAAGTAACTTTCGGAAACATACAATCATATTAGTTTAAAATTATAGAGAAAAAATAAGAAGATCAAAATAAACATTTGGAGAAAAAAAAAAACCAAGTCATAAGGAGAAACTTTACGAACTATCTTCTAGAGTTAAGTTAAACCTAAACTAAAATCTTAAGATATGTTATATCTATTATTGAATCATTTATTTTATTTACACATCAAATAATGTTGAGTTTAAGGGAGAGCGTTAAAAAAAACCTAAATTTTAAGAAAAAACTTTTACTTTATGAGCTAACTTTTGGGATTGAGTTAGACTTAAAATCAAATAGTAAGAATTAGCTCATAAGAAAAGAATTGCTTCCTAAGATTTAAATTTTTTCTAATACTTTCTCACATTCAATATTATTAAGCTTGATGTGTTGATAATACAGGTGATTCAATATTAGATATAACAAAGGGTTTAATACCATCTAATAATTCGTGTTTATAACTAATTTAAACTTGAAAGTTAGCTCAAGAGGTAAAGGTTACTCTCACTTATATATTTTTGGTGTTCTCTTAGTTAATGTGGAATTTAGATTTTTTCTACTATACCCCTCACGCCGAGAAATTTTGGACTTAGTACATGTATAACATGATAAGTGGTCCGTTAATAAATCTAAAATATGATACGATCTACTAATTTAGATTTGAACTTTACTTAACCCCAAAAACTAACTTAAGATTGGACAAAGGTTGCCCTTTCCCCCAACTTATATATTTTATTTGGAGTTTATCTCTATTCAATGTAAGATTTAAGATTTTTTTTCAAATAATAGAAATAAAATAGATAATTACTTTCATTATTCTTTCCTTTTTTAAATATCTTGATTAAAATTTACAAAAGGAAAAAACATGTAACAAATGTTTGTGAAAGATAAATTGATAGGTAAAATTTTTAGTTGTTAATTTCCAAGTTATTATTCTTTGAGTTAATGATATAATGTAAAATATTTACACTAGTATCTAATTACAATTGTCATGTATGTTAAGTTTAATAACTTTTATAATACCTATGCTAAATGTTGTAACTCTTATAAACTTTGATTAGTTTAGATTTGTAATTTTGATTAGTTAATAGTGTAAAATATTTTTATACCAAATTATGAAATTTAAACTCTTAATCTTTAGACACTTATTAATATAAGTAATTAGTTTACAAGTTATTATAGTGAAAAAAATTACACTAGTATTTAATAATAAATTATTATGTATGATAGTTTTTTTTTAATTCTAAACTAGTCATATCAATCATAATTTTTTATTTGTTGATAGAGTGAAATTTGAAATACATATTTTTTCGATCCTTTAAAAATCGTTAAATCATCACAATTTTGTCTTTAAAAAAATGCATTGATAGGTTAATGGAAGAGGATTGAAAGTCGAGGTCAAGGGAAAAAAGTGGCCTAATCCTCCCTTCTAACACCAATGTTTCAATTTTAAATTGCTAATATTGTTAGACACGTCGCATATGAAGTATTATCCATTTTAGTATTTGTTAGACTATAAAAATTTGATTTTGATAAAAATGTTTATGTAAATTAAAGAAAATAATGTTTATAAACAACTATTAGGGGGGTGTATTGGATTTAGATTTTAAAGGACTTTTTTAGTTGAAAAAAGTCTTATAGATTTTAAAAGACTTTGTAGGATTTTCATGACTTTTAAGATTTTGTAAGATTCTACAAGACTTTCAATCAAGATTTTAATAGATTTTGCAAGACTTTTAAGTTAGGATTTTAATGGATTCTGCGAGACTTTGTGAACTTTGCAAATACGATAAGAGTTCAAGATTTTTTTTCTTCATACATACAAATTTAAAATAAGTCAATGAGAAAAATAATTTTAAAAAAAATTATGTCTAGATAAATAATAATAATTCTCCGTAATATCATGTCCTTCTAAATAGGATTATCCATATATTCATAGTTATACTAGTCCTCCAAGCATTAACATATTTTCGCTCTTGCTCCTGAGTTTTAATAATAGGCTCAAAATTATGATTTTTATTAACCGGTAATGTTGAAGATGAAGGTTCATCTACCACTCCAATTGGAGATTCATCAAAATGACATTCTTAGGAAGAAAGTTATGTAGTGTTGTTACACATGCTAAAAATTATTCTTAATAACATTTCAATTTTTTTTATAATTTTTAATTAAAAATATTTTATTTAGAAATTTATAAATGATTAAAAAAATAGTGGGACAGCTACCCTACTCTCTTATAACTAAATATGTCATTTCATTTTATATTGATATTTAAGTGAAAGCTTGTCTTTCATACATTTTTATTCATTTAAAATATCATAGAAATTTACAAACATCAACTATGAGAAAAAAAATATCTAAAATTTGTTACAGGTACAAAATAATTTTTTAAAATTTTTAATTGCTTTCAATTATTCACTTGTGAAGAAATATTTTTAATATTGAATTCTAAGATACTATAATGTCTTATGTTAATTTTATTTTTTAAAATATAAAAAATCCTAATCTTATAATATAAAAATTTTAAAAATAAAATTCATAGTAAAAAAAGAAATAAAATAATTGTTGAGTCATAAAAGGGGAAGGATAATAGTAACAAATTTAAAAGAGGGAGAGAGATCGCAATTTTTGTACTTAGAGGGTTCTTCCTCCAACTAAGATCCATTCTTATCTCATTCTACTCACAGAAACTCTAACTCAAATTCATCTTATATTATATATATATATATATATATATATATTGTTCTAATAAATCTAAATTGATTATAAAGATCATGATATCAATTTTAGCTTTCACCTTTTCTTTTTCTTGACACTTGTTATAAGAAAAATTATTACTTGAAAGTTAAAATTTCAAACGTTTTTTGTGTTATATAACTCCGGAACAATTTCAACTAAATAGAGTAAGTCAATTAAAGAGAACAGAGAGAAAAATAGATCAAGTCAATGACACTATCATTTACGTATAAAAGTTTCACCAAATAGGGGAATGGAATATGAATAGTAGTACAATATTATATATGAACAGTAGTGCAGTATTATTAGCAAGAGAAACAAAAATGGAGAAGACATGAGCATAGAAAAAAAATGAAAAACTAAATTAAAAATTCTTGAAGCACTTGAAAAGTCATCTCAAACAATCCTCCAAAATCTCATGGATTTGGATGAGACTGTTTTATGAATTTGATATTTTTAGATATTTTTAAAAAGTCCTTCAAAATCCCTCTAATATAACAATCCTTTAAAATCCCTATATTTTTTAATACCAATTAATTATTTTTAAGTTGTAAAAAGTCTCAAATAAATATCAATGGGTTTTAATGGACTCCTTAAAAAATCTAAAAAATCCAGATTAAATATCACTGGATTGTTTTTAAGTAACATAAAATCCTGATAGAATATTAATGAATATTTTTACTCAAAAAAATCTTTTAAAATCTTATAAAATCTTAAATCAATACACTTCCCTTAGCCCTGATTTGTAAGTGATGTGAAACTTTATAATATATTGGAACACATACAAATTAAAATTCACCACTATGGAGGCCTCCGGAGCACCCGTGGGTCAAATTAAACACGGACGGGAGTTGGTTGAGTGGGACTGTTGCTATGGGGATGGGTGGCGCAATTCGTGATTGCGCCGGTATGTGGCGGGGGGGTTTTTCGCGTGGGGCTTCACAGGGGGATGCGTTACGTGCAGAGCTGTTGGCCTTGGAGGAGGGCTTATCGCTTTGTTGGGAAGGAGGATTTCAGAAAGTGAGCTGCGAATGTGATTGCCTGGGAGCTGTTACGCTGCTTCAAGATCGGTCACCGAATAGGGACTACCTGCATAAACACTATGATGTCATTCGTCGTGTTAAGAAAATGTTAGCTCGGGACTGGGTAGTGTACGTAAGCCATATCCCTCGAGAGATAAATTCAGTAGCCCATACGCTTGCTAGTTGGGGTGTTCGGAACCTAGGTTCCACTGTATTTTGGAGGAGTCCTCCAGACTTTATCCTGCTACCATTAGGGAGAGACTGTATGTCTTGAGCTTGTCTGTTTGTTTTAGTTTCATACTTTACCAAAAAAAAAAATTGTAAATAATTTAATTAAAAAATATATGTTGTTTACCTATTATTTGTGTCATTAGTGCCGACAGAAAGTAATTAACTATTGTGTGACTGACGAAATTGCTCCTCCAAAATTTTTGAAATAATATTCCTTTTTTATTTTAAAAATTAAGTTAATTTATTTTTTTTAATTTAATCTTTTATCAAAATAAATTTAAAAAAAAGTAAGTTATAGGTTAAAACCCTTATTTGGTCCCTTATAATATTTTTTTTTGTTTCAATTTAGCCTTACTTTAATTTTTGGTTTCAATTTGGTCCCCAATAATTTAAATTATTACAATTTGAGACTTCCGTCCAAATGATTTAAACTGTGTTAACTGTTAGCCACATGGATGTCAGGTGGATGCCACGTAAATGCATAGGTGGACGCCAAATTTCATGAATACACCTGGAACCAGAACAGTCCGTTCTGAAACCAGAACAGTCCGTTCTGAAACCAGAACAACCGGTTCTACTTGCATATGTTATGTGTTAATTTTGCAACTGGAACGGGCCGTTCCAAATGCAAATTTAACACACCATGAGTGCACCAGAACGGGCCATTCTGGTGTTAGAACGGGCCGTTCTGGATTCAGAACGGACCGTTCTAGAACGCCAACTTCATGCATTCATTGACGACCAAAATGCCACAATGTGATTCAAAATTTGAAAATAAAAATTCATAACATCATAAATTCAAAGACAAAAACATGGTTCAGAAACTGAAAACAAAAATTTAGAACATAACATATACTAAAAAAGTTCAAAGAAATTATTAAGAAAGGAAATCATCTGAGTAACGCTGAAGGGAAACCCTAAATCACAAAAATTCAGGTTGTACCTCCTCAAGAATAGGTTGTTATTGTTGGAGTACATCATCAATGACTTCAAGGGGAAACATCGTTTTGTTTCATCCTTGACTGTATAGTGTCAATTTAGTAGTAAGTGGTTCATTCCAGTTTGACTAACAATGAAATAAAACCTGCTACCATTGTTCTTAGTGATACATTGCATCGTCCTTAATAATACACTGTATAGCCAAAATTTTTTAGCAATTGAAATTATCAATCCCTATTGACAATATTACCAAATCTAGTGTTTGAAATGCTTTGTACTTTGGGTCTTTTTCCTTGCACGATTCACAATCGTAAAGTATAATCATTGACCATTCTGGAACCAAAACGGTCCGTTCTGGTTACACTATTGGTGTGTAAATTTTGTATCTGGAACGGCCCGTTCCAGATACAAAATTTACACAACAAGAGTGCAACCAGAAAGGACCGTTTTGGTTTCAGAATGGGCCGTTCTGATTCCAGGTATATTCATGAAATTTGGCATCCATCTACGTGACATCCACCTGGCATCCACGTGACTAATAATTAACTCCGTTTAAATCATTTAGACGAAAATACCAAATTACAATAATTTAAATTATTGGGTACCAAATTACAATAATTTAAATTATTGGGAACCAAATTACAATAATTTAAATTATTGGGAACCAAATTAAAACTAAAAATTAAAGAAACTAAATTTAAACAAAAAAAAATATTATAAAAGACTTTTAACCTATGTTATATGAAGTCTCGTGACATTCTTTGTACATGAGATAGTACAAAGTGCAGAATATATAAAATGGTCTAAGGAAAATTAAATTTGAATTTATTACACTTGAGTTCCCTTACACAATAACACAAGCATGAAGCATCTAGAAACACACTAATCTCGCAGAAGAAAATCACTCCAATTAATTCCACCTTCTGCAAGAAAGTCACAATCAATTGAAGTAAGCTCTTGAGTCCAAAAGTCTAGTGCCCCATCTTCCACACCAAAGAAACACGTGTTACTGTTACGTGCATTGTCTTCCTTATCATCTAACAAAGTTTTCCACCAATTCTCAGACCCTAATGAATCTGCACCTGCTTCACTAACACCAACTTTTGAACTATTAATGAATTTCCCTCGCAACCACGGGGATGTTTTTGACAAAGTTTGAGGTACAGGCCTTATCACTTCGTGACTTTTCACTTTGGTCTCCACCTCTTTCTGCTTTACGTTCTTTTCTTTCGTGTGAGAGAGTTCTTTACGTCGGATGTACGTGTTCCAGTAATTTTTCACATCGTTTGATGTTCTTCCCGGAAGTCTTCCTGCAATTAGGGACCATCTACATCCACAAACAATTTTTGTTTAATCAAAGGCTATTCAAAGGTTAATTACTTCTCCTTTATGTAATTTATATGAGTTTAATTTTCATATACACTTAATATATCAGTGTTAACTAAAAAAATATTTTATACAAATATAATTGTTAGATAACTACTAGAAAACTCAAACTTTTATGACAATCTATAATTAAATAATGTATACAAAATTTACTACTAGATTAATTTATCTTCTTCTTTTGCATATATCATATCTATAAAGTTTTGCTAAACATTTGACATATCATTCTTATATATAAGTATAAGTTTGACTGCATTCAATTTTCTCAAAATTTTAAAACATAATAAGTTAATATATAATTAAAAGTTAATATTTAAATCGATAAAAAGTCATATTTTATATAAAATTATTGATGGTGCATAAAGAGAGAGAGACGAGAATGAGATAAGAATGTAAAAATGATATTTATTTATTTGTTCTTCTTTTAATATTTAAAAACACTTTTAAATCATCATATACATACCAAATTGTTTTTCCCACGGGTGCTCCGGAGGCCTCCATAGTGCTTGCTCCACCCCTAAACGCCTCTTAGCATTATACACACAGTTCTCCACCGTAGACATCAGCACTTTCCGACGGATCACCGCAACCTGCCAAATATATATATATATATATATATATTAATGTGACAATTTAAAAATAAAAAAAAAACTTGGCATTTTCCAAAACAGTCGGAAGAAGCAAGAAAATAAAACCCACACTTGATTGACAAGAGAAATAGCAGGCAGAAACAAAATGTCTTTCCAGGTATGTGAAATGCCAATCCAAATAGCACACGCATCAGCAACTTGAACGACACAACACGAATCTCAGGTCTTTGATTCGTGCGCTCCACCCACCTTCCATTCATGTTACAACAACGAACAACCTAACACCTGACATTAATTCTTTGTTTGAACTTGACTCCTTACCTTACACCAAAATTATGTACTAAAAGTTTGTGACTATTTACGTTGTTATTTAAAAACTTAAGATAAACTTGTTAGGTACGTAAGTGGGACGTTAAATTTGCTAAGCGAGAAGTTTCGTGTTCCATCTAATCCATCCATTGTAATTGTTAATACATGTTGATGCTTCTTCTCTTTGTTGATTCCTCATTCTTATTTATCACATATTGATTGTTTTTCGTCTCTATTTTTTCAATGGAGGCTAAGGTTTTGAGAGCTACCATTTCACCACCTCTTCCTCTGTATGATTCTTCAACACCGAAGCACAGGGCTTGCTTTCCCTTCAACCCCACCTCATGTTATGGCAAAAGACACAGTCTTTCTCTTCAGGCATTTTCCACATCCTCTGGGTGAGTCCCTTTGATCAAACTAGTTGGCTTCTTGGAAATTTATTCTGCATTTTGAAGTTTAGATCATCCTGCAAGGAACATGCGTGAGGAATTTCAGAGTTTATGGTTGATTGATAATTTGTTAATTGTTACGTATGTTCACACGTCATTGTTAATGTATTGAGATTACATCTCTAATATTACATGTAGTTGCCACCGCGTGTAGAATCAGCAACCAAGTTTGATTGCTCTAATGTATTTTCTTTTATTATTAAAATGATATTTTTATTACATCTCAATTGCTATCTTGAAAAGAAAAAATAACACAGGTTTGTGTATTGAAATGAGACAGTTAGCATTAATAGCCCTGCAATTGAGCCTGTTGCATTTACTTGATCAGAAACCATTAACATTAACAACTTTGGTTTTTCTTGTTTTTTAAAGTAGGTAGCAATTTCAATATGTAATGCTTGCACAATGTAGGTAACTATTAGGCGATCAGTTTGGTTTCTTTGTCAAGTGGTGTGTGCGAGGTTATGATTATTTGTTTGGATTGCACTCTCTGATATTCTCTCTGCCAAATAATATCAAATTAAGGCAGCAATACCATATAAGGAATAAAACGTTGTACCTCCATGTTTCTTGAAAATTTCCAATTATTTATACAAGACTAGATTAATAATTAGGTTCTTTAACTAATTTTTTTTATTTCATTTTATTCATCTAACTTTTTTTCTTTTCATTTTGGTCCTTTTTTTATTTTCAATTTGGTTCTATTTGTCTACTGCATGGTTTTTAAAATGCTTTAAATTGTGCCTTTTTTCTTAATTGTGATGCTTTTTTTAACCCTGGCGCAATTCGTGATTGCGCCGGTATGTGGCGGGGGGGTTTTTCGCGTGGGGCTTCACAGGGGGATGCGTTACGTGCAGAGCTGTTGGCCTTGGAGGAGGGCTTATCGCTTTGTTGGGAAGGAGGATTTCAGAAAGTGAGCTGCGAATGTGATTGCCTGGGAGCTGTTACGCTGCTTCAAGATCGGTCACCGAATAGGGACTACCTGCATAAACACTATGATGTCATTCGTCGTGTTAAGAAAATGTTAGCTCGGGACTGGGTAGTGTACGTAAGCCATATCCCTCGAGAGATAAATTCAGTAGCCCATACGCTTGCTAGTTGGGGTGTTCGGAACCTAGGTTCCACTGTATTTTGGAGGAGTCCTCCAGACTTTATCCTGCTACCATTAGGGAGAGACTGTATGTCTTGAGCTTGTCTGTTTGTTTTAGTTTCATACTTTACCAAAAAAAAAAATTGTAAATAATTTAATTAAAAAATATATGTTGTTTACCTATTATTTGTGTCATTAGTGCCGACAGAAAGTAATTAACTATTGTGTGACTGACGAAATTGCTCCTCCAAAATTTTTGAAATAATATTCCTTTTTTATTTTAAAAATTAAGTTAATTTATTTTTTTTAATTTAATCTTTTATCAAAATAAATTTAAAAAAAAGTAAGTTATAGGTTAAAACCCTTATTTGGTCCCTTATAATATTTTTTTTTGTTTCAATTTAGCCTTACTTTAATTTTTGGTTTCAATTTGGTCCCCAATAATTTAAATTATTACAATTTGAGACTTCCGTCCAAATGATTTAAACTGTGTTAACTGTTAGCCACATGGATGTCAGGTGGATGCCACGTAAATGCATAGGTGGACGCCAAATTTCATGAATACACCTGGAACCAGAACAGTCCGTTCTGAAACCAGAACAGTCCGTTCTGAAACCAGAACAACCGGTTCTACTTGCATATGTTATGTGTTAATTTTGCAACTGGAACGGGCCGTTCCAAATGCAAATTTAACACACCATGAGTGCACCAGAACGGGCCATTCTGGTGTTAGAACGGGCCGTTCTGGATTCAGAACGGACCGTTCTAGAACGCCAACTTCATGCATTCATTGACGACCAAAATGCCACAATGTGATTCAAAATTTGAAAATAAAAATTCATAACATCATAAATTCAAAGACAAAAACATGGTTCAGAAACTGAAAACAAAAATTTAGAACATAACATATACTAAAAAAGTTCAAAGAAATTATTAAGAAAGGAAATCATCTGAGTAACGCTGAAGGGAAACCCTAAATCACAAAAATTCAGGTTGTACCTCCTCAAGAATAGGTTGTTATTGTTGGAGTACATCATCAATGACTTCAAGGGGAAACATCGTTTTGTTTCATCCTTGACTGTATAGTGTCAATTTAGTAGTAAGTGGTTCATATCTGGAACGGGCCGTTCCAGATACAAAATTTACACACCAATAGTGTAACCAGAACGGACCGTTTTGGTTCCAGAATGGTCAATGATTATACTTTACGATTGTGAATCGTGCAAGGAAAAAGACCCAAAGTACAAAGCATTTCAAACACTAGATTTGGTAATATTGTCAATAGGGATTGATAATTTCAATTGCTAAAAAATTTTGGCTATACAGTGTATTATTAAGGACGATGCAATGTATCACTAAGAACAATGGTAGCAGGTTTTATTTCATTGTTAGTCAAACTGGAATGAACCACTTACTACTAAATTGACACTATACAGTCAAGGATGAAACAAAACGATGTTTCCCCTTGAAGTCATTGATGATGTACTCCAACAATAACAACCTATTCTTGAGGAGGTACAACCTGAATTTTTGTGATTTAGGGTTTCCCTTCAGCGTTACTCAGATGATTTCCTTTCTTAATAATTTCTTTGAACTTTTTTAGTATATGTTATGTTCTAAATTTTTGTTTTCAGTTTCTGAACCATGTTTTTGTCTTTGAATTTATGATGTTATGAATTTTTATTTTCAAATTTTGAATCACATTGTGGCATTTTGGTCGTCAATGAATGCATGAAGTTGGCGTTCTAGAACGGTCCGTTCTGAATCCAGAACGGCCCGTTCTAACACCAGAATGGCCCGTTCTGGTGCACTCATGGTGTGTTAAATTTGCATTTGGAACGGCCCGTTCCAGTTGCAAAATTAACACATAACATATGCAAGTAGAACCGGTTGTTCTGGTTTCAGAACGGACTGTTCTGGTTTCAGAACGGACTGTTCTGGTTCCAGGTGTATTCATGAAATTTGGCGTCCACCTATGCATTTACGTGGCATCCACCTGACATCCATGTGGCTAACAGTTAACACAGTTTAAATCATTTGGACGGAAGTCTCAAATTGTAATAATTTAAATTATTGGGGACCAAATTGAAACCAAAAATTAAAGTAAGGCTAAATTGAAACAAAAAAAAATATTATAAGGGACCAAATAAGGGTTTTAACCTATAACTTACTTTTTTTTAAATTTATTTTGATAAAAGATTAAATTAAAAAAAATAAATTAACTTAATTTTTAAAATAAAAAAGGAATATTATTTCAAAAATTTTGGAGGAGCAATTTCGTCAGTCACACAATAGTTAATTACTTTCTGTCGGCACTAATGACACAAATAATAGGTAAACAACATATATTTTTTAATTAAATTATTTACAATTTTTTTTTTTGGTAAAGTATGAAACTAAAACAAACAGACAAGCTCAAGACATACAGTCTCTCCCTAATGGTAGCAGGATAAAGTCTGGAGGACTCCTCCAAAATACAGTGGAACCTAGGTTCCGAACACCCCAACTAGCAAGCGTATGGGCTACTGAATTTATCTCTCGAGGGATATGGCTTACGTACACTACCCAGTCCCGAGCTAACATTTTCTTAACACGACGAATGACATCATAGTGTTTATGCAGGTAGTCCCTATTCGGTGACCGATCTTGAAGCAGCGTAACAGCTCCCAGGCAATCACATTCGCAGCTCACTTTCTGAAATCCTCCTTCCCAACAAAGCGATAAGCCCTCCTCCAAGGCCAACAGCTCTGCACGTAACGCATCCCCCTGTGAAGCCCCACGCGAAAAACCCCCCCGCCACATACCGGCGCAATCACGAATTGCGCCACCCATCCCCATAGCAACAGTCCCACTCAACCAACTCCCGTCCGTGTTTAATTTGACCCACGGGTGCTCCGGAGGCCTCCATAGTGCTTGCTCCACCCCTAAACGCCTCTTAGCATTATACACACAGTTCTCCACCGTAGACATCAGCACTTTCCGACGGATCACCGAAACCTGCCAAAGCTCGCCATTAAACAACATGTTATTCCTAAACCGCCAAACCCACCACAAGGTGATGGATAGTTCAATAACATCCTTGTGCAAAATAATCCCCTTCAGCCACTGAAAACAATCCATTACAGAGAAAGACCACCCCACACTGAACCCGCCAGACATCAGCACCTCTCGCGAGTACGGGCAGTCCCGAAGAGCATGTAAAATGGTCTCACGAGGGCAAGAACAGGGCGAGCATGCACCAGACTCGGCCAACCTCCTATCAGCCCGAACCTGATTCGTTGGGAGGGCTAAATGAAGGCATTGCCACAGGAAGAACTTCACCTTCTCGGGGACCATTACCTTCCAAAGCTTCTTCCAAACTTCATCCCCCTCCGATGACAGTACCGGGGTTAGAAAGCGATACCCAGATGACGCTGTATAATAACCCCGAGATGTCACCCCTCCATGCAAAGTGGTCCAGCCCCAATGAGGAGTTTACGACACTCAACTGACGGACCGAGTGAACCAATTCGGCAGGGGAGGACATAAAAAAAAAAAAAAAGGTAAAATCAAAATAAATTAAAATTTAGAAAATCAATCCAAAAAAATTGATGAAAGTACTAATTTTGCCTTTGCACGTTTATACTTGTTCTGTTGTACTGGGCACTTTGTGTGGATGTTTATGATGTCCATGACTTGAATAATAATAAAACTTAGAATAATGATACTTTTGTTTCTGTGAAGGGTGCCCTCACCTTTTTGCCTTCCATTTGTTGTCTATCAAATTTTAAAGTTATCCTAATTTCTTCTGTTGAGATGCCTTGAATTTATAATTTTGTCTGTTACTATTTCAATCTTATTTGGGTTGTAATGAGGCTGTTATATTTTATCCTTGTTATAAGGCTAAAAGGCATCTGTATCAGATATCTCTATTCATTCAGAAATAAGAAACTCTTGAACTGCCCGTGGACGTAGGTCACACTGACTGAACCACGTAATTTGTGTGTCGTCTTCTTTCTCTTCTCTTTCTTTTACATATTGTCATAACAATTGGTATCAGAGCTCTAGGTTACGCTAGGGCCTGATCTGAAGAAACGCAATGTCTTCGTACAAATTTGATATTGATAAATTCAATGGATCGAATGATTTCACTTTGTGGAAGATGAAAGCGGTTCTTGTGCATCAGGGTTGCACTGCAGCACTGGAGGGTGCGGATAAATTACCCATAACTATGACTGATGATGATAAGAAAGTGATGTTGGAAAAGGCGCTCCTGTCCAGTCCGTGTACTAGAGGGATGAGGCACCCGACCCTAGGTGAGGCTGGAATCCCTCACGAAGTGAAGGTAGGGCCTTAATAATACTCGACCAGATTGGAGAAGCACCCCGCCTGGTTTGAGCACACAGGATAGAGTCACCATGAAGGTATAGATTACTGAGGAGATGCACCCAAGGCTTCTGTGGAGCCGATAGCATATCCCAAACTAACTTTCCAAGAAGGGATACATTCACCCTGCGCGCCTCCCTAACCCCAAGGCCACCTAACTCTTTGGGTTGAGTAACAACCTCCCAACTCACTGGAGACCAAAACCTTGTATTGTCAGGCTTCGTCCAGAGCATACGTCGACACGCTTGGTCAATTTTACTACACACTGCTTGGGGAAGCCATAGTGATTGCATACTATAAATAGGGATAGAGGAGATAGTAGACTTCACCAGGCACAACTTCCCTGCCTTATTAAGAAGCTTGGACTTTCAAGCCGCGAGTCTACCCTGGATCTTATCCATCACATCATAAAATTCTGCGCATCTTGGCTGACCATGCGTCATGGGGACACCCAAATACCTCCCGATCCGAGCCGTATGACTAATCCCTAGCAGTCCCTCCAACGTATCGATCCTCCTTTGAGAAACCCTTCTAGAGCTCACAAACTTAGACTTAGTCAGATTAACTCTCAAACCTGATGCGCGCGAAAACTCCTCCAGGATTGACGCCACCAAACAAGCTTGGTCTTCGGAAGCTTGACCGAACAACAAAATATCATCCGCAAAGAGAAGATGTGAAAGCGGTAGCCCCCCAGGAGATAGCTGAATCGATTTCCAATGACCCTCCTGGAGCGACTCAGATATCCTAAGGGCTAGACGCTCCATGCAGAAAACAAACAGGTATGGAGACAATGGGTCTCCCTACCGAAGGCCACGGGACGGAACAAAGGATGGTAATGCACTTCCATTCCAAAGTAGTGAGATTGACGAGTTCCTCAGCCCCCACATGATGAGTTGAATTGTGATCGTAGGGAAACCAAATTTCACCATCGTAGACTCCAAAAACTCCCACCTGACCCTGTCATATGCTTTCTCTAGGTCAATTTTCAAGGCCAAAGAACCCCCACCTGAGCCGTCTTTTCGAACAAAATGGAAGGCCTCCTGAGCAATAATACTGTGGTCACGAGTTCCCCTCCCAGGGATAAAGCTACCCTGGAAAGGGCCAATGACATCCTGCAAGAAAGGTCGAAGGCGAGCCACAATGACCTTGGAAATAACCTTCCAGGCGACGTTGCATAAGCTTATAGGACGAAAATCTTTGAGGCGAACTGGATGATTGACCTT